CGGTCTCATTTCTTGCTGGGTATAATAACCCTTCAGTACACGTTTTGGATCTGTCAATATTGCTTTCAATGTATCTGTCATATTAGGTCGAAACGGATATTTCTACTCTGATTCTTGAACAGACTTGCAAAAGATGGCCTCCGAGCAAGTGTATAAAATTCTGTTTTTCCTCCAGTCTGCGGCCTTCATCTTGTTCATCATTAGTAAGTGATTGATTTAGCAAATACTTTTGTTCTTCCAATTGAAAACCTCCCTTAGTAGACTAGTTCACTATCAAAGATTATTTATGTGTGCATGTGTATAAATTACAAGGGTAGGCAGTGATCATGAGTGGCCCACTGGATATGTTCAGAGGCATACATTTCGACGCCATTTTCTCTCAATTTCTACAGTTTGTCTTTACTTTTGTCTTCAGAAAACCGCCTACAACTGTCCTAGCTTTTAGGTTCTGATCTAAAGAGATTTTTTGAGTTAAGACTTCAATAAAGACTTGAAATATCTCTTTCGTTCTAAGAGCACAAGGTCGACAAAAATCCGTATGGATCCTGTCTGTATGAGCTCATAAACTAGCTGTGCGATACGTTAGGGTACCATGCACCACTCTTCCGCGAACTGAATTGCGGGTTGTTGAGGTTTTCCAGATATTGGTTTCAACACCGTTCGCTCAATAAAAAGTAACGTTTGGCTTGAAAAAAAAAACTACAGTGCATACTCTCGTCCTGTTTTGGACGTGATTTAATTATTTTCCAACGCTACATGCCTATAAGCGGTTTGAATGTTGGGGGTTAAGCCTGAAACGGCAATGAAGCCATGATTAAGAAATGAGACTGGTCTTTCGCTCATGCGCAAACGTCAAATATAACGGTGCAGGCTACCCTGAACTATTCACCTATTTTAATCAAGGAACACACTTGTTGCTATAATGACATTAAAGGGTTTTCCGAAGACAAACGTGAAGCTCAAGCTTATTATCTACACTAGCCATCTATGTGCATGCGCACATAGATCAGAATTTATTAGTGAACTGGTCTATAATCGACCATACGACTGTCTGAAGGGAAGCGCTGGTGGAGCTATTTGGCTCACTCCCTCGTGCCAAGAAAGACTCGTGGTATAAACATACAATAAACTTTCTTAAAATTAAGGTATAATGAGGAACATTCCATACCAGAGGTTCCCCTGGAAGGACAGTGATTTGAAGGCCTGTGCAAATGTTATTTTTAAATTTGCCATCCATACAAGAGCACCCTGTCTCTCATTTAAGTTAAACCTTTGTCCATTTTAAAGGGGATCCTGGTGCCTCCATTTTTTACCCTATGCAGTTTCCATATTGATGGCCAAATTTGTATTGGCGTCAGAGTAGAAAGACCAGGACCATGTTACAAGTATTTCTGTCCAAATTTTGAAGCCCAATTTAATTCATGGAAATACTTACGGTAAGGGTTGCTCACTAACTCACGTCACTGCCATGTAGTTTCAAAAATGCATTTTCTAATGCCCAGGAAGTCAAATAGTTTTTTTTATATGAACGCCCTTTTTAACCGTTTGAGAGAAAAAAATGTGACAGATGTTTTATCAGTTTTTAGGACTAAAAAAGGTTGATGCATGGAATCAAAAAATGATTCAACTCGATTTTCTTTACGAAAGCCTAATGATGAAGAGAACCACCTGTCACGTGTGATGTTCCTTTATGTATACTATTGCTCACATTTTTGCAGATTACTCCCAAGACTCCAGTCTTGTACTTAAGCCTGTGAGGAAGCTGACTGATAAGAAACCATGTGGGTGTATAAATGGCACCCGAGAGATATTTCAAAACACCAGTGTTAATGCTTCAGTAGATCCATTCAGACGGGGACCCTTGTCCAATTGCAGCTTGTACGACATCAAGAAGAGACCTGGTGTTGTCATGTTGACCACAGCAAACCTTGCGTATGTAGATGTGGTGCTGAACATGCTAGAGAGCGTCAAAAGGGTGGGCATTTGTATAAACACAACAGTCATCGCAGAGGATCCGAAGGCTTACGATATCTTGAGCACATATGCCAAGGGGGATCCAGCAGTTTATGTCCAAAGGACCAATTCTGGAGAAATGGACGTCATTGAACACTCGCGTCGCCATCGCAGCCAGTACTACGGAATTATGAACAAGCGCCAGGCGTACATTTTGTCTTTTCTAGAAAAAGGTTTTGAGGTTCTGTTTACCGACTCTGACACGTTTTGGTTCAGGGACCCCTTTCCACATTTCCAGGGAGATTTCGACATGTGTCTCAGAGGATTTACTCCTACCAGAATAGTAAAGAAAACTAATTTCTGCGCTGGCTTTATATACCTGAAACCAACCAAAGCGACAATCCAGTTTGTGAAGGCATGGGTCGAAATTTTAGATTCCAACAAGAAAAAGGGATCATACCCGGCTGATCAGTCAGTAATGAATGGACTATTGAAAGGTGACAAACCTGTGCACGTGAATATCAAAATGTTAGATGCTGACCTGTTTCCATGGGGCCCGACATTTTTCAATCCAAAATGGCAGAAGCAGAATCACTCAACTGTTGTCATGCATGCCGCTAGCATACGTGGTCATCCTGCAAAACTGAAAAAGTTCCGAGAATTTGGTATGTGGCTTGTGAATGTCACCGTCCCGCCTGCCCCCCGTTAAAACAAAACTGAACCCGGATAAGTGGAAAAAAGGTCTACTTCAAGAGTGAAACGGATATAAGGAAATCTAATCTCCTTCCGTCTTGTTTATTTCGTTTTGTGGGGTTCGTGTTGGCTCATATTGCTTAAATTTGTTTGTTGCTTCTTTGTTTTTTGGTTTTAGATTTCTGCTTTCATTTCTTGCCAATGTTAAATTAGTGGATGAGGTAATAATTGCCGATGATGGTTTTTTTCACCTTCAGAACTAAAACCAAATGTGACATAGGCCTACATGCTGTGGCATTCAACACATATTTACTCGTGTTATCTTAACATTCTCTAGAACCATTTCTTGAGAAATACACACCAATACCAAAATGTGTGTTGGAAGTTTTCAAGTTGGTATCGACAACCCTTTAAATACGTACGACTTGAATTGTAAAATGTTGCTTTTACAGCTCGTTAACCGAGGAAGCCAAGTGCGCACTTGAAAAGCAGCTTGCCCTGGATAACCTGCACGATATGCGGTAAAGGGGAACGCCCCCCCCCATGTGACGCACAAGTTGTATACCCAATATACCCTACTGTGCTTACTGCACCCCTTCGGAAATCTGATAGGAATTCCAAAGAGTCCATCAACACAAACGAAGACACAATAGGGGGGGTCTCCTTCACCGCACATCTTGCGTCATATGTCCCCCCCCATACACGCCCAGTACAGCTGTAGTGAACTTGAAATTCCAGACAAACACACAACTGCGGTCCCAGCGAAAATGTGCACATTTCTATGGGGAGAAAATTTGTTACTGCGAAATCGCATTGTACGAAATTCCCGTTACAACGAAATGTTTTTGTCATTCCGATGCCTGAAAAAACATTGCTGACGACCCATTTATATAACAAGCGTTTACAAATGAAAACAAGTGTACAATGCAAATGAAGCAATGCTACACTGGTTCCTGCCGCGCCGAACCATCGCCAAAAAGCATATTATATTAAAGGGAAATGCAGCAGCCAGTTTACCTGTTTACATGTACATATTCCAGTCCCAAAAGCATCATGCTTTGCGCTGCATCTTATATGAATGCAGCTCTACTGTTGCAAGTCAAAATATCACTGCCGTTTCAAAATTTCTGAAAGTTCATTCAAATAGATTGATCTCACAGCTATGTTTGTATTTTCCGGGTTCATGAATTTTATTTGAGGTTGTACTGCTCATACCATATCTCGGGCGCAGGCGGCCGCACCGCAGTGGGCCAGTGAACCCAGACTTTCGATCAATCGTGGTCATGCACGTAGTGCCGAACATCAACAGAAGGAATATTGAATACAATGTCTCTCCATGGCACAATTTGTGTTTGAAAGACTACTGACATGGATAGGCTTCCAGTTGATGAGTCTTCACATTCTTGCAGGTACACGTACACACAACTCCAGGTATGCATGCCGATAAGTTAGCTTCGTCCTCATTCATGGCGATCGAAAGTCTTTAAAAATCCTAGAAAAGTATTAAAAAAAACAGAGGAAAACTTGAGAATTGTTAGATAAGAGGTGCGTTTAGTCAAATTAGATTTTTTGGAAATTAGAAGTTAATGAAGGAATACAGACTGAGAGTTAATAATAGAAACTGAGAATTCAGACGAAAAACTGAAAACTCGAAGGAAGAGGTTGGTAGAGAATTTTGAATGTTAACTAAACAGAATTTAACGACGATGTTGAGACTTTAAAGATTAAAGGAATAAGGACAAGATTCAGATGAAGATCAACAGAAAATAGATAATTCAATATGGGAAAGTGATAAATCAAACAAGAAAGATCTGTAGTTGTGAAAGTATAAAAGATTTTGGTAATTTGAAAGAACCGAAGGAGTACGTGTATTAAATTGAAGTGTAAACTGAAAGATTTTAGTGAATTGAGAATTAAGAATCAGTTTCTGAGAAGTCTGATAACAAAAAGCGAGGGAGGCAAGACGAGTAAGAATTCCTGAACATTATATGTGACATTGATTGATTGGAACTGAAAATTAACACCGCACACAAATTCTGTTGATACTTTAGAAATTGTAGGTGCATTTAGAATGGGGCACGTTTTAACTCGTAAATACTCTGTACAGTTCGACTGTCGCATCTAGGCTATGAATACATTTTGATATGTGAAAATTCAGCAAAGTATGGTAGGCGACTTTGAAAAAAACATTCTGAAAACGTGCAATTACTTTTAATACGTTATAGTTGCGTGGAGATTTTAACAATCAGCCGTTGACTTTTAGTGAATAATTAGCGATAATGTAGTGGCTTTGGTGGAATATATTTTCATAAGTCAAGATTGTCTGAATTGTGTTTTCATTTGTCAATGATCCATCTTGCGTGTTCAATCCCAAGTTGTCCGCAGAGAACCTCTTAAGAGGTTGGGGGTGGCATTCACTGTTCCGAGAGCATCTTGAAAGAAAAGAAAAGATTTGTTCAGATCAGGAATGCATTAAGATTTAGTTTTAGATTGCTAATTGGAACAAAAAACGATTTTGCATCTCAACAAAGTTATATTTATAAATAGAAAGGCATCATAATCCTTTCAACAGGCAGTCTACCAGTGAGTCAAAGAAGTCTAAACCACTTCTTGATATGGAAATTCACAATCCCAAAAGAGATTTCTTTTGTGTTGGAAATCTAGCTTGGTTGAAATGTAACATCCTCCATTCCCATGTTCCAATTAGCAATGTAAAACCAAATCTGCATTTCACCCTAACGATACATGTGAAAACGGCGCACTGAATCGGACTTATGAAACTGTTGAAACATTCGCTGCAGTGGGATATCAATTTGACACCGCGGCAAGATCTTATAACTTACCGCAGCGAGCTACACATCAACGATTTAACTTGCTGCGGCAAGCTAGCTGCACATCAACGATTTAACTCGCCGCGGCGAGCTACACATCAACGATTTAACTCGCCGCAGCGAGCTACACATCAACGATTTAACTCGCCGCGGTGAGATAATAACTCGGAAGAACTTTTTTGCTAGTGGCCCTTATACGCTTCAGTAGGTAAGTCATCGTGCACGAAAAGTTAACGGAGGGCTGCATCATCAGAAACATCTCCCCGCCTCCCCTTTGTTGGCAAGTCCAAGTTGTGGGATATCTAGTTACCATTCCCATGTTAAATTCATGCTTCAACAATTTTTCTCTACAAGAAAAAACAAGTGGCTGAAGAAAGAAAACACCCACTTTATGTAAGTAATCCAATTGGTGTAGAGCAAAGGGGGCATTCTGGACAAAAATCCTCCTGTTATTAATCTGACACGGACACATACTACAGGCCACGTTGCAATTCGAGTAAAACCTATCTTTGGGCATCAGACACCAAATCTTATTTCTCTCATATAAACAGCCTGAGGTACAGTGCACTCGGAAAGTTCACAGAATCACTTGGACTTATAAAATTCGGAATAGGGGCAGGTTTATTTGTGTAAAACAAATCAAAATCTTTGACTTAAAGAACAATCAACAAATCAAGAAGCTTACATGAGGTAAACATACCTGTAAGTTTGAAATGGAAGTCATCGTTATTTTGCCCTTCCTATATTTAAAAAGCTTGAGTAAGTACACGATATAAATTCTAGTTAATAAAATCATTTCATTAATTACGAAGATTGTATTAAACTGACTCCATCGAAAAGCATTTGCAAGCTTTCTGTTAATAATCCAAATAAATCTTATATCTTATAAAATTCTTCATGCTGTAAAGTTGTAGAAATCACTAGTGAAAGTGATGGAAGTGGCAACAAGATCCTGCTCTGCAGAGTCTTCAAGCGATCAACCTTGTGATTCATCTTTGATTGGTGTATATAAAGTTTACAATCGGAATGTCCGCATGAAGCTCATCTCAGAAAGCTAGCTTAAGCTTGAGAAAAGGGCAATTAAGATATACTTGGAGGACAAAGCTGCGTTCATGGCCATACTACATGGATTCTGAGTGGAGCTTCAAATTTGTGTACAAAAACATCTCTTCATCTGAGTTGTGTGTGATAGTAAGTCTGTGTAAAACCTTTGATTTTGCATTCCCGAAGTCTACTTTGTATTGTTACATTGCAAAAGGTACATGTATAGTAGACTGATGACATGTACATCGGTGACTCCAAAAACGTACACGTATGCCATCCCTCACGCTCTGTACAACATACAGTTTGAACATAATGTTTCAAGCTTTGCATGGTTACGCAAACCAAAGAAATTGTACACATGATGTACTTAACGCTTTTTTTTGGCAGTAATTTGATTTGAAACTTTTGGTTGGGGGAGGGGTTTAAGGACTTTATCTAGTGGCCCATTACCTTTTGGTGGTAAATTAGCAATTCTTGGATGCAGCTACATGTTCCTGTATTTTACACAAAAGTTACTGAAATCACCATCGTACATATACATTATGTCCACAATCTCAGGATTGGAAAAGTCTGATAATGATTAGCATCAGGGTACCACTCAGTGATGCTGATGCTAGAAACACTTTGCATTTTTGTAGTTCTTGGAAGAAAATACAGTAGGGATTATCCACTGTACCGCTGATGAGGTGAGTGTTTTCTGAAGTCTTGAGATAAAAAAAACAGAGAAATCAGTTAGTACTGGCTTATGTTACAGAAATTCGAAGATTTAAGATTAAGAAATAAATGCATGATTTTTTTTTCTCCAGGCCAACCCGGATGTCTTATAATCTACATGTTCATTTTAAGTCCTGACAAAATTACAAAAGAAAAATGCATGTTGTAAGATACAAAAAAATGAAAAGGAATAAAAGTGATGTAAATTGCATGCTCTCTGACTTATGACCTCGAATGTACGAACACAAAAAATCGAGCGACCTTATATCCACAATAAAACCCTTTTCTCGTCCACTTGCTTTCTACATGCCCCCTCCCATTCCTTGAAGTAATCCCAATCAGCAAAGATTTCAGTTTGGACATGGTTTGGAAGTTTTTTTTTTAAGCGTGCTTTGGTTCTACATTAAAACACTACATCTTGCCGTTGAAGAGGCCAGTATACTGTGAATACTTGTCAATTTAAATGGTTCAAAGTGCTTTGATCTTACATATTCATGTATGCATTTTGATTCAGGTCATGTACAGTTTAATATTGGCCCAAAACTGGTGCCTCACAGAAGGTTAGAAGAGGGGAAATTGATAATAATCAGAACTGGAGCAAGTACCGAATGAGAGTGTTTCTGCGTACAGGTAATTTTGTCTTGAAAGATGTTCATTTATTCTGCAAAAATGATGTAATGCAATGATATTCTGACTTTGTCAGTGACTTTCTTGAAATATAAATGACAACACCAAGCACTTTAATAAATGTAGTTGTGTAACAGAAGCTTTCAGGTTGAAGAGGAGTGAACAGAATTATAAGAATCATTAAAATAATTTATTTGTAGTGTGGGATAGAGATTTAAAATCAACCTGTTACTTATTGGCTGGGATTACTTAATATAAAATAAGTTCGTTTCTCTACTGGAATTTAACCGTTACTGTCTAAAATGTATTGTAGCGTGTCCTACTGATCAGGGTTCGACGCTGGTATAGAATGACACTCAGCCGCAACTCGCTGGTTTGGTCACGAAATCTGTTTTAATGCTGACGTCCACAATACGTTTTTAGCTCAATTCCAAACATGGCGCCTATCCGCAGGGACTGCGCAGGCGCGAGGCGGGAAAACCGCGGGCCGTTCGCATACCAGCGCGGGCAGCCAGCCAACTCCATGCGGGTCCGAGCTGGCGCCCCCACCGGCCGGACCCGCCGGCGCTACAGTATATAGGCATTCGCTGATTAACTTCACTTTGCATCAGGGGCAATATTGCATACAACTTGCACCAAAATTTTGGGAAGGCAAAATCACATGCCTAGTATGCAGGTGTGGATTTTTCTACCCATCTGTTAGTTTCACATGAGAAAGAATGGGCATTAGGCACTCAGGAAATTAGGGAGACATACTTATAGTTCAATTTTTGAGTCCATGGGAGAAACAGTGGATAATGGCGCCTCGTGGGAATTAATGTCATAGTTTGGAAAAAAAACGAAAATTCGATAACGATACGCTTGCTAAAGATGTACCATATAATTTCTTCTTATTCACTCATGTATGGTCTGAAATAACAAAGTTTAATGTCTATTGAATTGTCTTACTGAAAATTGTCTTCTAGAATGATATGATGAATTGCGCAAGGCACATTTAGCAGAAGATACCTCTAACCTGGATGACACATCTGGAGATGAAAGCAGGCAGCCACGAAAACGAAAGAAGCCCAGGAGATTTTTTGTGTCGTCAGATGACAGCGATGGTATGTTTTCATACTTCATGTCACTGTTTGTTTGGGGTACTCTAGCTCTTTTACATGGTGCACCTATGTCATAATAGCCATGTCACATTCACGTCATGCTTTGTCAGTGCACTTCCCTATGGCAGTGAAGTAGGACACATTTCATTAAGCCCCAATTGGGAAGCATACATGGCGCTTGATCTCATGTTAATGTCAGGGTCATGACTGAACATCAATGGTTTACAGTTTCAGTGATTACAGAACCAGCGATATAGAGGTTACAATACAAAAATGTCCGTCTTGAGACCAGTCTAAAAAATATTCTGCCCTTTTAGTGCAGGTAAAGCTGAAAGGTTACTTTTTTATTTACTTCTTAAAGAAGATGAGAGTGAGGCACCAGGAAAAATAATGTTGTCCATTGCTGCCAAAATCTTGCCCATCACTGCCAAAACCACCTCATTCATCAAGTAAGTGACAAAATAATGGTTAAACAGATGCATATTTTGGTTTCCAACCAATGTTTGAGAATTGAAGCACATGTAGTTGCTTGGTGTTATCATTACAACGGCAGGGTTTTTAAAAATAAGAAATCATATCAGCTTTCCTTTTTCTGGTTTTCCGTTAAATGTTTTGCCTTTTTGGATTATTTAAAACCACTTGCAGTTTTTAGCCAAGTACCACTGTGGCTTCAGTGCAGCAAAATGGTTTCTGTTCCAACGTTTTCCAACGCATGCAGTTTTTTAAGTAATGATTTAGCGCAAACTTGATTTCTTTTCACGGTTTTCACTGAAAACTACCAAAAAAGGAAAAACTGGAAAGAAATATTGAATTGCACAAATATGCAAATTTCTGTGTTTGTATGTTTCATTGTGATCTCGTGATTTGTATCTTGTTTGTACTTTTATGTACTTTTTGATGCTTAACTGCCTTCTGCAAGGGTTGGCACAGAACACTCTTGAGACAGGTTGCCACGTGTTTCAATAGGGCAAAGCTGCATATGTACACACTGGCAACTTAAACTCGCTTCACCTAAGAACACCTATAATGACTGTTTTGTGCGGATTTGGAACAGTTTAAAAAGAATATTGATTTGAAATATCATTTTTTTTTCAAATTAGGGTTTTTGATGGAAAATGTGTTCATGAGTGGGAATAAAACATGTTTGGTTAGTCTAAAGCGAATGTTTGAAACCAGCTAACGAGATGTTCGTGTACATTGATAATTTCCCTCACCTTGGCTCAAACATTCTATTTCAAGACATCATCACTCGTTTTTATTCATCTACAATGCATCAATCTGTATGAACCTCTTTGTATGCTTCAAGATGTCTTTCAAATAAAGTAGTTTGCCAACCCAGCAACGAAGCAGTCCAACACCTGCTAAAGAAATGGACCTAGCAACAAGGTGGGCCAACCTCTACACCCTTCAGAGAGAATGTGACCCAGCAACGAGGTGGACCAACCTCGACTATACACTTCAAAGAGAACGGGACCCATCGCCAAGGCGGGCCAACCTCTACACTCTTCAGAGAGAAGGGGACCC